TACTGGAGTACGTGACGATTTCTCTGTGAAGTCAACATTCAGGTAGACAGAGATCGTCTCATATGACATCGCTGCGCACGTTATGATATAAGCAGCAAATTGTCTCATCACAGCCTTTACTTTCAGTCCAAACCATATGTTCATAAGGGAATGATTTGCAGAATTGAACAGCGGTTGGCCCCATTCCGCTTTGTATAGCGTTGTTGGTGAGGGAATACAGGGAAAAAAGATTGTCTGGAGCCGTTGGGGTGTCAGTTTCATTCATCGTTCCTGACTGAGTGTCAGTTTTGAGGCCCGTCTTACATGGAGCTTACATTGCAGCTTCAGGTTTTATTTCCGTACCTTCAACCTGGAATGCCTTCCTTCTTGAAGGCTACATTTGTGGCTATTTTATCACTGTTTCTTCTTACTTCTATCTGTACTCATTCAGTTATTTTAGAATGACCAAAGACTATTGACTTAAGTTCGAATCCAATATCCCTCGCTAATGTCTCTGACGTCTATCGATTGAGAAACTCTAGTTTATTACAGACAACGGTAAAGGAATTTACCTCACTATTTTCACTCCGTGACACTGAATTGATGAATTCTGATGCTGCAAGTCTTCACCGACCTTCATTAAGGTAGATTGCATTTGGAAGTAATAATCTCTTGAAGAAGTAACGGTTGTGGTGTATCAGACTGGCTGCCTCACTTGCAACCTATGATACCCTTGCCAGATATCACGGTGATTGCGGGTCAGAATTGCTGAGCACGTGAGCTAGAAGAAGAGCGGTCGCAGGCTCAAAAGCATTGTGAATGGTAGAAATAAATTCTGGACCAACCATTATCACATCATGACCATGGACCATATTGAATTCGTGGGAATAAGACCCAAAGCAATGGCATATTGGAAGGTTATTGTTAGAAGCGTTCCTGATCAAAATAACGGAAAATGTTATGAATCAGGACCGATGACTAGAGATGTCAAAAACATTCGTTAACCTAGAGAAAAGTCTTGAAAGTTCAGTCATTCATATCTGATGTAGAAGAACAGAGATCCGGTTTGTTAGCGCCAGTAGAAGATGAATAGTACGAGACGGCAGATGGTCAAGACCAAGTCTCTTTACCAAAGACAAAGAGAATTGAAATAATATTTGACTGTCAATCAAATTTCAGTGATAAAAGCAAAGAAACATCGGTGAGTCTTATGATTTGGCAGATAAATGCTGGAAACTCCAACCGAAATCTTGGTCCAGTTAAAACAGAAATTTCTCTGTATACATATTTCAAGTAAAAGTTTTCCATCATTGTTCGAGAACCTAAACTCGAATTAATAATTCTTTTGCATTAATTGAGCCATTTAATTTGATTTCTTTAAACAGTCAGCAAAAGGCCCTATTTGCTTCATAGTTTGAAGCAGCGTACTTACGCGAATTGAGAGTTTATGAACGAATTCCGGCAGCTCGTCGACATCCTCTGCCTCTTGTTTCGTTGTGATAACCAATCTGCTTTTGAACAGAAATGCGTAGACAAGTTCGCCGTCCCCTTCTTGTGTTCCTTCCCACAGTCTGAATTCATCCTAAGGTAGGCTGTGCGTTCGGCTAAATCAAATTTGAAAATGCGAAAGAAGATTACGTGGCGCAAAAGACGACCAATCTTCACCACATCACCAGGGTAATTCAATATATTCTTTACGTAGGCGATGTCACTAGCTCCCTTTGGAACTGACAGCATAAGTTCCAATGCTTTTTCCAAACTTTCGGTTGGAACATCGGTTCTTGACGTGTATTTGATCATTTCCTAATGTTGAGCCTTTTGTTACAAGTATTTGCAGAATTTTCGTACCTTTAGGTATTTCTGATATTCAGTGATCTGCTTGATAGGAAGTCGCAGATAATCCTCAAGGCTCTTGCCTGATTTATCCGTCAAAATTGCTTTCTAAAAGAATCAGTGGCAATGGTTCATAATTTAAACTAAATAATTCACCTCTAAATATATCTTTATTTCAGGCTTCTGTAACAGCTTTTCAACTTCGGGTTCATCATGAGCATATTTCGCATGATAGTCAAAATCCCTCTCCTAAACAAGAATTAACTAATAATGTTTTACCTTGTTTAATTCAGATAAATGAAATTCGCAAAAGCTAAGCTGGTAAGGGTTTAATTTGGTTGAAGCCAGTTGAACTTTTTTAATTAATCAGTAAATCGATTCAATAATAAACTATTTTATAGATGCTATTCGCTTTTTCCACAACATGATGAGAGACATAAGTGGTAAGAGACCAACTAAAACCGAGTAAAAATGTTTAGGTAAGCTATGCAAAATCGGTCTCGTTCGTTGGCGATGAATATCAAGCTGATTCCTAACTCTTAATGTTCAAGAAAGGTATTTTTATATTTTCAGGAGCTCACAGCACATGAATGGATCAATTCTTTAACAGTTGACGATGACGGTAGCCCTGTCGATATATTTCCAGTGTGTGCAAGCCCAATTAGCATAACCTACCTGGTGATTGCCATACAAAATGTAAAGTATGTTTAGCGGTTCGCGCCGTTAAAGAAATTGACAACAGCTCTTCTAATGAACTTCTCCTTGAAGAAACAATGCTCTGTCGTGATGAATGAGACTGCTAATGGTACGTGGCCCGAATATGGGGATCGACCCAAATGATGTGCGCTGAAATCTTCAGAGTACCTTTCTTCATGATAGGTGAGAAGAGGGTAATCAGTGCTTCTAGGTGGCACAATCAGGTCGATTAATAATTTTTTTCTATCTCAGACATTTTTTCTGTGAACATTCTTACTGATGTTTGGCTCTGAAAACATTTCCATAACAAAACGCCTTCTTATTCCATTACTGAAGAAACCTTACGCAGAAAAAAACCACCATTGGAATCAACGATCAAATAAAAAATAACATTTTGGACCCAAACGACATTATTCATTCACTATCTGGTACTCATGAGATATGACTTTATCAATCGGCTTATCAGCAAAAAAATTGAAAATCAATATCAATCATGCCCTATTATCGTAATATTGTCCTTGAGGTCCATAAAAGTAAATAATTTCATAACAATGTTTTGGAAATTAAGTAAAACACCGAACTGGTATATCTCTCTTCGTTGTGTACGCATATAAAATGAGTAAAAACGTACCAGTCTGCCAAATGTCTGACCGACACGTCCAGGATCGTCACTGTAATACTGAAGTCCTTTGAGAAG